TCTTTAAAAGTTTTCCCTTTTCTTTTTGGTTATTCATTAGAACCAATATGTACAAGACTGAAAATAGTATATGCATACTCTTCTCTAGTGGAGGCACACCTGATCAGATCGGATTACCTATAGCACTTTTGAAAGCAAATCAAAGCTTCTCTTCTTCATCAAATCAGCATCTCACATAACTCATTTCTTCTCTCCTCAACTCTCAATCAATAACTTTACCTCTCAATTTAGGATATAGCCTCGACGCATGATAATTGATAGTACTAATCTGTTCCTTCTCTGGCTTGAAAGTCTCCATACACTTCTTCAAATCCTTTTCAAATCCAGCACAAACAGTATTTCCTTCTCCATTAGATGCCCAACAATTTAATAAACTTGACATAAACACAAAACACTGATTGGTTGATTTACTCAAGATGGGACGACGTACTTTGAGACGGGGTAGTGGCGGAAGGTTCTTTGGTGGTGGGCCTACTTTCTTATATGGCATTTTTCTTTGCGTTGTCTGGTGGATTAGATAGTGTGTATGGAGTTCGTTACACCTTTGGTGAAAATTTGAATAAAAAGTAAAAAAAAAAAAATCCAAGGAAGAAAGAAAAAAATTAAGACGTGCACAATTAATCAAAATTTGAAATGTTCTTAAACCCTATACACCAATAAAGAATATATATATATATATATATAAAAATGATATAAAAAACTAAACGATCCTATTCCAATAAATCCTCGCCAATAATAGCATAGTCAACACTAGTGGCTGATTTCCGCAATGCACGATGAGACCCCTGCGGTTTCCGTATCCAATAAATACGTTTAAATGGCGAATTCTTGAATGGAGAATAAATGACAGCTTGCTTGTTTTTGAAATTGGTCTTCAATAAAGGCAATTGAATCGATGATGAGATGGTAGCCGCGGCTGAGGAAGCGTTGAGGGAGTTTTTCGTGGTTTTGAAATATCGCCATAATCTAAATTTAATTGTGTGGCCGATATTCTTGATGACATTTTTCATAAATTTTTGCGTATCTCTAGCTCGATCGTATTTAATCTTGAATAAAATGTCAATTTTTTCTTCAACATTGATGAGAAATAGTTTAAATAAGTGATTGACTAAATGTCTTTCACGTCTCTTGTTCAACGGAAGCATGAAATAAGCAGGGAGGATACTAAAACTCTTCCAAATGTACACCGTACCTTGCAATTCTTCCTTTATAGCACAAAGGATATATTGATTTGATTTGATATAATCATTATGAGTATCACTACTCATTAAATGGGCATTAGAATTCTCCACTGTGGTTTTTATTTCCTCTAAAAGCGATTTCTTCATCACTCGAATCTCCTGTTCAATGCGGTTAGTTATTTGATGATTATTTAATTTCAATCGATTATAATCTTCGGTGTTTGCAATCTGAATGTTAAACCTTGGTAGTCCCAATTTGCTAGTTAAATAAGCATGAGTTGCACGTTGTGCTGATTTGGCAGGGGAATAAACACCGCCACCAGAATAATTTTTATTTTCATAATCATACAACTCCTTCAAAGGTGTGACAAACGTAGGATCAACGTTTATAGAACCATCTTTTTCCATAAAGTTCAAATCAAATTTCTTTAGATTAATCTTGGAATCAAATGCAGGTAAATCTTGAACAAATTCTCGAGGTAGCACTCCTTCTTTTTCCCTTTCCAATTTACGCAAGGGCATACCAATAAAACTTCGATCAAACCCAACCACATTATAAGGGTGTTTCATTTTATCATTAATGTATTCATGAACGGCACTTTCAGGGTTGAATTTATCACTTTCATTGCGTCGCAACATTTTGAATTTTGAATTGATACCTCGCATATATTGGCCCAACTTCATTAAATCATTGTCATGATCGTAGAAGTACCGTTTAAGAAACTTTTCATGCATTGCTGGGTTTGCGTCTAGTTGTTGTAGCTGGTGATATATTTCATCGATGCGTTTCATATCTTCTGGGTTAAGGACATCAATTTGGTCAGGCAAGTTGCGCAAAATCTGTTTTGAATCAATGAAATGGGGGTTGTGGAATGACATGAATGGTTTATCACCATCTAATCCCATCTGAAACAAAAACTGTTGTTTATTCATTACTGAATAACTTTCAAATTCATCAATTTGATTTGTCGGTAGGGCCGATAAACTGTTTGCTTCTTCTTCATCCTCTTCTTTATCTTCATTCTTGGACTTGTCTTTGTTATGCTCATCCACTGGTCGTATATCACCTTTCTGAAACAGGTCTGCTAGGTTCTTTAATAGTTTTTCATCCTTATATGTAACGAAAGATTGATGGAAGCAACGCCTCGTAAAATAATGATGCAGTAGAATATAATGTGGTTTTGAACGTGATATGAATCTCAACATGGTGGTGGGTATCTATAGATGATCTTTGTTAGACACGTTAGTGTGTGTGCTAGTGTGTGTGCTAGTGTGTGTTGTATGGATATTATATGTTGGTAAAAAGAGTTTACAAGATGAAAACTTTAAAGAAACCCTTTGTTTTACAAATGTTGTTGCTTTGATAAGGATATATAAAAAAATGATTGGGTTACAATTAATTTCTGTCACTCACTCACTCACTCACTATAAAAAATATATATATATATATATATATATCTATAATAGTTAATAGTTAATAGTTAATAATAAATAATAAATAATAATTGAAAACTACACCTTTAAAAAAAATAAAAATAAAAATAAAAAATACATTAAAATGGTCTTTATATACAGGAACACATACATAAATACATATATAAATACATAAAGTTAAAAATATATTGTATTTCTGGTTTCTTATTAGCAAGACGAAGAAGAAGAAAAAGAAGAGAATCTACTATAAGATGAATGATGATGATTTTTTTAGTATTGGTAACAGTTATTCAAAATTACTACTGTTGTTACAATAGTATACAACATTAGTAAAGTACTCTTTTTTTTTCACTTTACTCCACTTTTATCATCCTTAAAGCTAAGTTTTGCGAAACTCGGAACTCTCTCCCTTCTCTCATTTGAAAATAAAAAAATTACAAAAATTACAAACTGTGGCAACAAATCACCTGATCAATTTGTATTTTGACAAAAGTAAAAAATAAAAAGAGTTTTGCAGCTATCTGGAGTGGCAGTCGTATGAAGAAAGACATCAGAAACACTTTAATGAAAAGGAACTGTTTTTTATTTGTTTAAAGGATGGTACCTCAATCAATCAGCCATTAATTTGAAATCGACAAATACACCTAGAGGTTAGGAATACGTGACACTTTGTCGTATTTCCGTTTCAAAAGGTCTAGAAAGATGCAAAGAAAAAGTGGAATTGGAATATTTTCAGCAAGAGTGACAAGCCTGACCTTCCTTGTCTGCTCCCCAGTGCAGGAACTTTGGAAAAGGGTGTCGAAGTTGAACACGATAAATCAATTCGATGGGAGGAAAACATTGATTCAGATGGCAAGCCAGCCAAGCTTCTTTACAATCGTGCAAAGGTTTTATTACCAAAAATTTGGAAATTCTTGGTGGATATGGGGAAAGATTTTATTTCCCCACTCCATATTGCTGATATCAATGTTTATCTTAGGCTTTATTTTTTTGCAAGTGGTACCATTTGAGAGCTTTGCTAGCTTGAGAGAAGAAGGGGTGACTAAAAATAAGGTAATTAGTGATGATCTTCAAACTGTTTGTGATCCTGCTAATTTATATTAGTTGAGTTTTGCTTAGTGTTTGGTTTACTTATATATATATATATATATATATATATATATAGGTAGCATAGCTAGTGAGTAATTGTTTATCTTTTTTAAATTTCGGAGTTTTTGAAGTTTAAAGCTCAAAGAATTGTTTCTAATGAAGTTGAAGTGGTTTGCCAAGCAAATCGTTGTGTTTTTGCGGTACGAGAGGTACACACACTCTCTGTAAATTCTATTGAATTTATCAAGATTCACTATCCTCCTCACCACATAATCGAGGCATTTGCACTACGTGGAGTTATTTTAGACAATTCTGCTTTTTATAAGCCTCTCTTAACATTGGTTTAGTGTCCAAAACTATATCACCTTGTATTGGTTATAGTTTTAGTATGTGAGATGGAGTACTTTGTTGCTTTGTGGAGTACTTGTAAGAAGGTTTAATTCGTTAGCAAAGGGAAAATACCGAAGTTATAGAACTTTAAAACAAAATATAAAGC